TATAAATAACTTGAATAAATAAAAAAATTACTAGCTGGAGTGCAGGTGGTGTTTTTATATAATCATTTATTTCTTTGTAATGCATAAAAGTAACCCAGCTCTCTGGGACACCTCAGCCAGGTGGGCACTATTAACTTCCTTGCTGATTCTCATGTTTCTGAATAAGTAATTGGCTGAGGCAAGAGTTCCTCAGATCCCAAAAGAGACACCAAGTCTGCTGTCACAGCAAAATTTCTAACCAACAAGATTCTACATGTAGACTTCTGATCCTCCTCATGGCCTATTTTCTCTCCTTTCCTCAGTGTCCAAATAGCAAATCTGTACAGATGCCCTAAAAGAAAGAGAAACATCAAAATGAAAAGTAAAAACAATAGCCAGGTGCTGGTGGCTCACGCCTCTAATCCTAGCTACTTAGGAGGCTGAGATCTGAGGATCACAGTTCACAGCCAGCCCAGGCAGGAAAAGTCCATAAGACTCTTATCTCCAATTAACCAACAGAAAGCCAGAAGTGATGTTGTGGCTCAAGTGCAGATCACTCACCTTGAGTTGAAAAGCTCAGGGACAGCACCAAGGCCCAGAGTTCAAGCTCCATGACCAACCCCTCCCCCCCCAAAAAAAAAGTAAAAACAACTCAGAATAAAAGAAACATACAATTAATTCCGTGGAAGGTGAATCTCTCATCTTGGACAGGCCAGTCACTAAAAAGCTGAAAGATCTTAACAAGAATACCAGATCTCTCTGAGCCTCCATTTCTGTTTTATAAGAAAGGAACTAGACTAGATCCCTAAATGATTCCAAATGTTTAAAGAGATGGCTCCGTGGTAGACCACGGATGATTTCTATCAGCCTAATTAGGATAGTATAATAGGGATTAACAAAAATAATTGAAGATGAGCATGATTACCTTCAAGAATGCTTTTTAGGGGCTAGGAGTGTAGCTTAGTGTTACAGTGCTTGCTAGCATGCCAGGGTCTGAGTACTACCCCAAGTACTGAAAAAAAAAAAAAGAAAGAAAGAAAAAAAGAAAAAAAGGGGGGGGGCTATAAAGAATGTTTTTTAGGTTAATTAAACCCATGCAAAAGTACACAGCTTCTTTTGATTGCTTTTCCCAAACATATGCATCCCTGGAACTGGCCTTTTATTTGGAAGATTAGTGCTAACTTTGCAAAAACTCTTCTGTCTGAATATGACAATACATAAAACATCAATGCAGACTGACAATACCAAAGAGGAAGTGATTTAATAGGACAGAATCACAAACTATGGGGGAGGAGGTATGGACGGTGCACAGAAGCCAAGAAGTCCTAAAAATAAATAACATTAGGCAAATAAAATGGGTGCGAAAGAATTATCATGGGTAAGAAATCTCCATAGGTTTCCATTGTTTATTTTAAAGATGTATCTCATAGTCTCAACTGTGCAAAATCCATGCTACTGCTTAGAATTCAATGAGAGGCCTTTTTTAAAAAAAAGTCTTCACTCCAACATTTACTTACTTGCTACTACTCCTAGCTATGACTGCCTTCCTCCTGAACACTGACAGAAGGGAGGTAAGACCACAAAGTAAACTAAAAACAGCTCCAATAAATACTTAGTGCCCTAACACACACCTTCTCCCCACCCTACCCTGCTAGATAAAAACCAGCAACCATTATAACTTACTAGCATTATATAAAATGCAAATCTCAGTATCTAATCAGAACAGGCTTCCAGTTTTTATTCTTAAAGGTTCCTAACTCTAAGCATTCTGACTTTATCTTATTTGGATGCCCTTAAATTTGAATGAAGGGATTAAAATACTTCTCTGAAGAACTTTGATGGAAGTTGGCACCAGTAGCTCCTGCCTGTAATCCTAGCTACTCAGGAGGCTGAGATCTGAGAATGATGGCTCAAAGCCAGTCTAGGCAGGAAAATCTGAGACTCTTATCTCCAATTAACCACCAAAAAGCTGGAAGTGGAGCTCTGGCTCAAGTGGGAGTGTGCTAGCCATGAGCAAAATAGCTTGGGGACAGCACTCAGGGACAGGAACACACACACACACACACACACACACACACACACTCAAGAAGGGAGGAAGGAAAAAAAGAAGGGAGAAAGGATGCACACACACACACACACACACACACACACACATTCAAGAAGGGAGGAAGGAAAAAAAGAAGGGAGAAAGGAGGAAAAGAGGGAAAGAAGTGAAAGGGAAAAGGAAGGGGAAAAGGGTAGGGGAAAGGGAATGGAAAGGAAGAAGAATTTTGATGGCACTAGGTATCAGTGACTTACACCTGCTACTCAAGAGGCTGAGAACAGAGGATAGAACTTTGAAAAGTCTGGGAGATTGACTTCCTCCAATTAGTCATTGTGAGGCCCTGAGCTTAAGCCACCATACTAGCATATACATACAAAAAAGGAATCTTGAAAGATAGTTTGATGCTCTCAACATACGCATTAAATACATAGGATCCTTATTAACAGATAGGAATAGGCAGGTGAAGCCATGTGTGGCAAACAAACTCCTTTGTCAATATATTAAAATATCAGCATTTTTTGTTTGATACCACACGTATCTCCATAAACATAAACTGTCTCAATTAATTTGGATCAATAACTAATATTTTATACAGTAATTCATAAAGTGCAAAAGCACATTGACATACATAACACCTCTTTCAAGATTCACCACAAAATAAGAAGGTGCTATTTTTAGGTCCCATTTTACATGTGAGGAGGCTGACACTAAATGGTTGACTTGCCCACACTGACAAAGCTGGGCAACAGAGCTGAGTGAAACTTGAACACAGAACGCTTGACTTTAAATGGCTTGTGCTGTGCTGACTCAAATTACTGTTACCAAATCTCAGACTACATCTAAGCCTCCTCCCAATATCCAGTTATCCCCCAATCTAAATTAACAATTTGTTCTAGAAGGCCTTTCTATATTCTTTCTTAAAATAAGTTTGTATTATTTCTCTGGAAAATATTTACCTGTCTAAAGTGTTAGTGACAGGATCATATAAATGATATTCAATAAACAGAAGACTCACTAGACTTTGTATAGGACACCTATGTGCATTTTTCCAGATAGAGGGGCAGATGCTATAACAGTCAATGACCCCTAAAAGATGAAGAGTTGATTAGATGTCTTTCTAAGCAGGTAAATCCACAAAGTCTCAAGTTTATGAAGAGTTTTATCTGGGCCTCAAACTTTTACCTCCGCTGTTCCAGGGTCCTCTTCTGGAACCAATGGAGTCAGTGTCTACAACAGTTTTTTACATCATAAATGACTTGAAACCACAAATAACATATAATTCAAGTCTATAAATTTAAACTTAAATAATTCTCCCTCAAATTGTAATGCTTAACTCATACCCCTTTTTTTTCACACTCAAACTGTCAGAATGAACATTTTCTTACTGTTAGCATTTTAGTCTCCCAAATGGAGTTTCACAAACATAACTACTTTGAACTTGTAAAATACCATTCTTCACTAATAATGGTATTCACTAAGGAATCTGTGCAAGGAATTCTGAATCTCATGGGCAGTTCACTCAACTATCATACCAGGATTTAATTTTTTCTGCTGAGGAGAGGGAGGAAAGAAGAGTAGGAGAGAGAATGAATGCAGCCCTATTGTCTTGCAGCTTAAAAACTCTGAATATGAATCTGTAATAGATTCCAGTAACTACTGGACTTGAACATCAGAAGTACAGTTTCTTTTCATCTTAAACAGAGCTTTTCAGTTCAAATCTATATAAATAAACTTTGTCCTTCAATCTTTCAACTCCTCAGCAGCTTTTCAAGGTCACTTTTCTGAGCAACGACAGAGGCCTGCATCCAGGAACTTTGGCTGCTACACCATTCCAATTCAGAGAGCCCAAAATCTAAGCCCCTAATGGATCCTTTCAAGTAAATCTTTTACTCAAGGGAAAGCAAATCAACACCCTCCAAAGTTCTCCTCTAACACAGGGCCTGCTCCTTTTCCCTATCCCGAGGCTGAATGCTGCTGCCTCGCTGCTCTACAGTCTGCTGCAGAAATGTTCCAATGACCTTCATTCTCTTATTTGCAAAAAAGAAAACAAAGAAGTGTTTTTTTAAAAACCAAGCCTATTACAGATCTTAGTCCTTGGCATTGACAATTTCACTATTAGGAAGAACTGACTAGTTACTGATTAGCAATCTATATTAGATACATATCCCCAGGGAGTGGGGGGGGAGGGTATCAAGGGCAAAAGATAGGGTGCCTATACTCTTAACTTTCTGCAGACTGGATGTAAATTAGTATTTTAATATTTCATACTGAAAATGAAAAGCATTTTTCTCATATCCTTTTAAAGAACCAAATCAACACCTGACAAAACATTTGAAATTGTAGAAACAGATTTGCTTTTGTCACTGCCAATATAACTGTGTTACTAATCAGCATTATAAATTAAAATGTTCATTTTAAAACAAAAACTGTCCTTAATACTTACTAGAATTCTGAATGAGACAGGTAGATCAAGAAAGTTATGGGAGAAATTCACATTAGTATGCGGGCCTTCACCATTAGAACCTGCACCAGTTGCAAATCATATTTTTACACAAATTTCAAATAGCAACTGTGTGGCTTCTATCTCTGAAAATGCAGATGTCATCAAATTGCATGAAAATAGAAAAACTCCTAGAACAACTCAGCTTATTCTGTAGGAAAGCTTCAGTGCACTTGAACAAAGGAAAATTATTTGGAAAACAGTTAAGTTTACCCAACGAAAAGAGAAAGTGCTCTGCTTCTGTGTGCCCTGAAAAATGATTTGCCCTCCATGTATCTGATCTTGCCGATGTTCAACAAGGAAAAGAAATCCTAGATAAAAGGACATGCAAAATCTAAACAGAGCAAGGTATTCTAGGTGCACCAAAAGGTATGCATGGAATGTAAAGTGGCCATTTTCTCAAACAGTGCAACTTGTCCACACTCTGAAACTAAACAGTTTCTACCATTTCAACACAAAACAAAGAATTAAACTTACCGGGAACTGCATTAATTTTACATGTAGTTATTTATACCTCCTCGGACAAGGAGAATTTAAGTCACTCCTATCCCTCCCCCCACCAAAGGATGGAGGAAACAAAAGACAGCAGGAGATGCAGAAACCTGAGTCTGGAATGTCCACTCCAGTGAAAACCCGAACAGCTGTCCTCCCACCCCCCAGCAAACTATTCGCCATTTTTCTTTGTCTTTCAGCTGACCCCTGCCTCAGTGAAAAACTCCGAGGCTCCAATGAAGCCCTGCAGCCTCCTTCCACTTTAACAGTCAAAGGCATTCAATCTAGCCTGCTATTTGACACCAAACCTTGCCTCCAGCACAGTCCTATTGGCTGAGCTGCTTTATCAGCTAAGAACACAAAGCCATGATTGGCTGTTCACGTCATCAGTTACCTCCTTTGTACACTTCCTGTTTTAAAGTTACCTTGAGAAGCAGAACAGGGGTCAGATTCTACACTTCAAAGTACAGAAAATTTAAGGGTTGGAAATGCCCAGCAAATACACCTAGCAAATTCAATGAGCCTCACGTGCTTCCAAAACCCGGCACTACAAATTTAGAACTGTTCTTAAAACCAAACGAAAGGTTGTTATAGTTTCCACCCAAAATATTTTTTATTGGCTGTCAGAGTTCCATTGAAAATTTTTAAGATAATTTAACTGCTTTTCATTGGCCACCAGAGATGTCTGTAAGATACTGCTACAGTATTCTATGGCAATAAACTACAGGAGCAAATGTGCACAAGGTTGCTAAGTTGCTGTCACTGCTTTCCTTAAGTTTTTTAGTTTTTGGTCTAATATTCAAGAAAAGGCATTTTGCTCTGTTTTAAAAACACAAACTGTCAGGCACTGATGGCTCACGCCTGTAATTCTAGCTACTCAGGAGGCTGAGATCTGAGGATTGCAGTTCAAAGACAGCCCTGGCAGGAAAGTCCATAAGACTCATCTCTAATAAACCACCAGAAAACCACAAGTGGCACTGTGGCTCGACTGGTAGAGTGCTTGCCTTGAGCTTAAGAGCTGAGAGACAGTGTTCAGGCCCAGAGCTCAAGCCCCACAACAACAACAACAAAAAAAAGTGGGATCCAGCCCAACACCATGGCTCACCCCTGTAATTTTTGTTACTCAGGAGGGTGAGATCTAAGGATCATGGTTCATGGGAAGAAAAGTCCATGAGCCTCCATCTCCAATTTATTAGCAAAAAAGCCGGAGTTGGAGATGTGGCTCACATGGTAGAATACAACTATGAGCAGAAATGTCAAACAAAAACTCAAGGCCCAGAGTTCAAGACCCAGATCCAGTATGAAAAGAAAGAAGGAAGAAGTAAAGAGGAAGAAAGGAAGAAAGGCTGAAAGGCAGGAAGGCAGGCTGGCAGGAAGGAAGGGAGTCACCACTATCTGAGGCATTTAACAATCTCCTTAAATATGCTTCTTCCTGTCAAAGCTAATATCCTAAGTCTAAGCTAAAATGTACAGTTGTTTTGCCAGGCAGGTGAGAGATCTTTTACAGAAATTCCTAGTTTGACTTTACCTTAGCACTCCTTGTAATATGTAGTGATTTCAGCAGAGGGCTGGAATAGAAGCAAGGGTGATTTATCCTGCTTATGACTTTGCCATACTCTTCACACCTCCATTCATCTTCCACTATTAAATGAAGTAATTTCTGAATATGAACTAACATCAAGTTCTATGGTATGTTCTTTATAAGCTTTACCTCTCTAATTTTCACAACTCTCATTTACTTGTGAGAATGAAAGAGGTTCAGAGAAGTAAATTAACTGGCCCCTGGCCATGTATGTACATGTAAACTCAGGCCCCATCGAGAGTGCTCTCCACTCCATCACACTGACTACTAGGACATGGAACACATCAGGATATGCCACAAAAAATTCTTAGGGGGCCGTGTGTGTGTGTGTGTGTGTGTGTGTGTGTGTGTGTGTGTGTGTGTGTGTGTGTGTGTGTGTGTGTGTGTGTGTGTGTGTGTGTGTGTGTGTGTGTGTGTGTGTGTGTGTGTGTGTGTGTGTGTGTGTGTAAATACCACAGACCATTATCCAACTTCACTAATTGAAAAAATAGAAATCTAGTTTATGTTAAATTTGATTTTCCCATTAGAGACCTAGTTAAGTATCTGACAAAATAGGATCCTATAAGTTGATGCAAATTTTATTGCTAAATTATTAAGAGTCAGTTGTTACTGATACTTGCAGTTTATCTAGACTTGGAACAACTAAATTGTTAACAACAGTATATATTAAAATATTAAGGGATTTTGTGAGGCAATTTCACTATGGCATTCAAAGAAGAATTTGATTATGCTAACAGGATGTGTTACTGGACAGTTCCTGAAGCCTCAAAGTTACAGGTAAAAATTTTTTCTCAAAAGTTTAGCCCACCAATTTGGAATAGCCATTCCCAAGAGAAGACCTACCAAACCCTCTTCTTTCTCTACCCCATCTTCTTCATGTTGGGGATCAAACCTAGAACTATACTTATGATAACCAAACACTCTACTGAGGTACAACCCCGACCCCTTGGCTTTTTGAGACAAGGCCTCACTATATAGTTCCCAGGCTAGCCTTGAACTTTCCATTCTCCTCCCTCAGACCCTGGAGTGCTAGGATTTCAGACCTGTACCACCATGCCCAGCCTAGAGCCTCTCAATCCCAAACCAGCAAGGGACAAATCAGCTGCAAGAAGATAGTTCATTTCTGGGATAAGGGCAGAAGAATAAAGAAAACATGCTCACAACTATACTATACACAGCTGCAAAACAACTAAGCAGAGTTAAAATCAGAGCTAATTTCAAACTCTAGTTCTTGTACTAATTGTAAAACACTGAACTAAACCTGAGTCTCAGTTTGCTTATCTGTAATATACAGATATTACCAACTATATTACTGAGTAATAGTAGGATTACATTAACTAATATATGAAAAATATTTTTACTGTGCTAGAATAAGCACTTAAAAATATATTTAGGCGGGGCTGGGAAGGTGGCTCAGTGGTAGAGTGCTTGCCTTGCATGCCTGAGGCCCTGGATTCGATTCCCCAGCACCACATAAGCAAAAAGAAAAAAGCCGGAAGTGGCGCTGTGTCTCAAGTGGTAGAGCGCTAGCCTTGAGCTGAAGAGTTGAGGGACAGCGCCCAGGCCCAGAGTTCAGGCCCCATGACCGGACCCCCCCCCCAAAAAAAATTATATATATATATATATATATTTAGGCAAGCCTGGGAAAAAACTAAGCAAGACTCTTTCTTCAACTAAGTCATATGTAGCTGGGTGTGCCTATGGTCTCAATTACTTAGGAACATTGGTAGTAGAATTTTTCCCTTAACCCAGGTCCCAGGCAAAAACACAACAGCCTACCTGAAAAATAACTAAACCTTTATAAAGGCTAGGGTTTGGCTGGGAATATGCTTAGTGGTAGAATGCTTGTCTAACATGCATGACGCCTTGAGCAAAAGAAGCTCAGGGTCAGTGCCCACACCCTGAGTTCAAACCCCAGGATTGGCAAAGGAAAAAAAAAAAGCTAGGGGTATGGCTCAAGCAGCAGACTACCTGCCTAGCAAGCCCTGAGTTTAAACCTCAATCACACAGAAGTAGAAACAGGTAGGTAGGGAAGTAGAGAGGGGAGGGAGGGAAGGAGGGAGGAAATGAAGGAGAAAAAAAGAGGGAGTGCTAAGTATCATTTAGTCCTGCATCCTCGTTTTACAGAGTTGCTGAGATACAGAAAAGAGACATGACCTTCATTAAGGCACAAAAGCTACTTTGATGGAATGTCTTTTCTATCACCAGCATACCCTGAAATTTGGTGGCAAACAATTCCTCCCTATGAGAGGAAGTAGGGGAAGACTTCTAGCTGGCACTAAAAATCTACAGTTTTTATGCCAGAAATCCATGTCTTTCATCACCAATCCCAGCTGAAGTCTGTTATTGTTCCAAAGTGTGCCCTTCAACTCTTGCTTTTTTTTTTGTTGTTGTTGTTGTTTTTGGTCGTGGGGCTTGAACTCAGGACCTGTGTGCTGTCCCTGAGCTCTACAGCTCAAGGCTAGAATTCTACCACTTTAGCCACAGCACCACTTTCTGGTTTTCTAGAGGTTAATTGGAGATAAGAGTCTCGCTGACTTTCCTGCCGAGGCTGGCTTCAAACCATGATCCTCAGATCTCAGCCTCTTGAATACCTAGTATTACAGGTGTGTGCCACCAGTGCCTGGCTAATCTTGCTTTTTTGATGTAGCAAACTAAATCAATCATGTCCTTTGCTCCCCTGTAAAGGTCTTCCACGAAGTTTTCATTAGTTCTTAGCTGTTTGCAAGAAAAACATTTCATTTCCTATTTCTCATGAACAGTTACCATAGTAGAATTCAAACCAGTGGGAAAAGAATTCAAATTATTCATGAATTTCCATTTGGCAGGCTGACCCATTCGGTTACTGTAGCTTTCTCTTTTCTAGCTGTCATTACTGTGGACCAGGGCTTCAATCTATGGGACCCTAATTCCCGTCCTTCCCTTTTCCGGATCTCAACAGCCCTCTACAACAGACAAAAGTATCTTGTCACCCTAAAAACTTTCAGATTGTGGGGCTGAGAAGGTGGCTCAGTGGTAGAGCGCTTGCCTTGCATGCCTGAGGCCCTGGGTTCGATTCCTCAGCACCACATTAAAAAAAAAAAGCGGGAAGTGGCGCTGTGGCTCAAGGGGTAGAGCGCTAGCCTTGAGCGGAAGAGCTGAGGGACAGCGCGCAGGCCCAGAGTTCAGGCCCCACAACAGGACCAAAAAAAAAAAAAAAAAAAGAAAGAAAGAAAAACTTTCAGATTCAAAGTGGAGGAACATACTTCAAACCCCAATACTGGTGAGTACACATGTGCACATGCCTTTTTTTTGGGGGGGAGGGGGGTCGGGTCGTGGGGCCTGAACTCTGGGCCCGGGCACTGTCCCTCAGCTCTTCAGCTCAAGGCTAGCGCTCTACCCCTTGAGCCACAACGCCACTTCCCTCTTTTTTTTTTAATGTGGTGCTGAGGAATCGAACCCAGGGCCTCATGCATGCAAGGCAAGCGCTCTACTACTGAGCCACCTTCCCAGGCCGAAGGCTGATTCTTTTATCTTAGCTACCTACCTACTTACCAACTGTATGATCTTGACCAGTTATTTAACCATTCTTAAGTTCATGTATAAAATGAAAAAAAAAAAACTGATTTACAGTAGTG